AAGGCCTCTGTGTGAGAAATTGCAAAATGCAAGTATAAACAATACATGTAGTAGCAAAATACAAGTGCACGGATGAAATTGGTTGAAACTCTTGTCTTCAACTTTGCTTGAATACATTTTATGATTTTATGGAAAAATTAGCCCTTGAAGGTCTATGCTAACCTTAAGCAAAATGTTTTTCCCTTTGTTTTTGAAAAAATTATGAGTTTAACTTTCCTGAAAGCAACCTGAGAAACCTGATGGAGTACCGAGCTGCATTAATTCCTTTTCAAAAAGATATAATAGTGAATACTTGATTGAAATATCTGCTTCATCTTTCTGTTTTGGAGAATATTGGACTTGATGTTGTGTTTTGTCCACAAACTTGTGAGAAAAGAACTCAACCAATATTCCCACAAAACGGACTAAATAAGTTGAAATGACATACTGTGAAACCTGTATTAAGTGGACACCCTTGGGACCCTCACTAGTGTCTGCTTAATACAGGGTGTCTGCCTAAAACAGGTTCTAATATATTGTGCAACAATAGTTAATTTTGTAACACAATGTAAGATCAAAGACTGCTCATAGCATAATGTTCAGTCAGTCAATGCATCAATCTGGAAAAATCACTTAGCTTTAAAATGACAATGCTGAACAATGTTAAAGGAGTCTCAGCTGAAGCTTTAGAAGTAAAGTACCCTTGAAGTGTCTGCTTATTGCAAGTTTTGTGCAACAAAATGGCTTAATATTGGTTTCTGCGTCCGCTTAACAGAGGTGTCCACTGAATGCAGGTTTATTTTACAGTAAATATGGGAGGAAAATTTAGGGACTCAAGCTGGTGTCCACTTAATACAGGTTTCACTGTATAAATGATTTGTTACATGTACATGGCTGGTGTAGGAAGCCGATATAATAAGTGCTCTGATTGCCTTTATTCTTTATTCTGTAAGATAATTTGCATCAGTAGAAACAACAAGTCTCCAAACTTTGGCGAAAGATCCTTTAACTTATCAATAAGCAATATTCAAATGGAGGTTGACAGCAAAGCGGGCAATGAGCAATTGTTGACAAAATTCAAATAAAGGGGATAACCATCGCAAACTCCCACGGGTCACCTCCAAAAGAAAAAGGAACTCCAAGACAGATTGTAAGTGATTGGAGAAAGGAGGACCCAATGGAAGGCAACCATGGGGGCCGACCCAGTCACCCTCCAAACAATGAATCTCCAGGTATGCAGAAAAGGGGCAGGGAGGCACCCCCTCCAAGCAGGGCAAGACAGCCAAGAAATGCCAACCAGCAGGAGGGCAATGGGCAACAGCCAAGCAAGTAACGTTCCCTGTTGAAAAAACAAGAAGGTACAAAACAAAAACACAACAACAACAATAATAACAACAAAAACAAGCACAGGGCAAAGGTGCTAACAGAAGCAACAAGCAAACTTCACTAAATTAAACGACACTCATTGAACTAGTCCACCAATGATTTGGCTCTGCAAGTTATAAGATAAGGTAGGGTTCTAATATATTGTTTGCAAGCATCTCTTTTCCACCAGCCCAGGACCTGGATATGGTGATCTGGAACACCAGCCCTCATGGCAGAAGTGGATGCTCCAATTTGAAAACTGTGACTGGAAAATCACCAGGGAGACCAGCAGAAACGAGAATGGCTCTTAACCTGCCTGTGAATAATGAGCAAGTTAGCAGAAGATCATTAATAATTAGTTTTCTAAAAGGAACAAGGGGACAGGACAGTTACCATGACATGCCCAGTAGGAAACGACAGCTTGGACAGCGCGCAAAGGTGGTGAACCCAGTCCAATCAAAACGTTAAACCCTTTCCGAAAGGGGTTGGTTTTAGAAGCTTTGATAAAAACTTGAATGCACGATGGATTAAGGGGAATGTCCACAGAAACATCAGACACGGACAAATGGAGGCTCAGGTTGAAGGCCGATAAGTTTGGGGCAGTGAACTTGGCAGACCACAAAAAACCAAAATAAGCTAATAGACAAACAGCCCAAAAGATAACATCATCAAAAGAATTGAGATCGGGGGCAGAGTAAATCATGCAAAGAATGTTATCACAAATTGTTGGCTTGGAAGGTAAGGCATCCTGAGAATGCTTGATTCCTCTGACGACTCTTTGAAGCTGAATGCAGTGCTCCAAGGGGCCAGGAAATCCATGACAGACATGAAGAGACCGTACTGCAGATAGGTATACTTTAATAAAAGAGTGCTGCAGGGAGTTGGCCAGGTAGGTAGCAAAAAGACAGAGGATCCATTCGGAGGCTGGGCATGGAGAACCTTAGGGGCTAAGCTGTCCAGTCACTACCCAGATATTTATAAACTTTTCCTGAGCACAATAACAGGTGCGGCATGTTGAGGCAGCAAGGCCTCGGTACATGAACAAAAGGCAGCGAGCTTCTAAATCACAATGGAAAACTGGGCTAAGAGCTGAGGAGGGATGAGGACTGGAAAATGTCTTTGCATGTGGTGCTTGAGGATGAAAGGCCTGAAAATTGAAGTGAGACAAGGCATCAGCTATACTGTTATTTCTTCCTGAAACATGACTTGCAGCAAGCATAAAACTGAAGCAGGTTGCAGCTTTGAGTAAGCTATGCAACAAAAGCATAATGTTTGGCTCTGGAGATCTCCGTGAGTTAAGAATGTGAACTACAGCTTCGTTATCAACATGAAACAAGAAACGCCTGCCAAACCAACCAAGACCCCAGACATGAGCCGCCAAAACAACAGAAAAAAGTTCCCTGTAAGCAATGGACAGTGGAAATTGAAAAGTAGAGCACCGACCATTGAACTGTTCATTGTCCATAAAAGCACCAAGACCAATAGCCCCAGACACATTAGAACAGACACAAAAGTCAGGCAAAGACTCAAGGGTGGAAAAAAGGATATTCTGTTCCACTGACCAAAACGAGGTGAAGTCCTTGGATAATAATCATTGTGGAAGGAGGACAATAAATCAATCATTTGGTGAAGAAAAGTGCAACCTAACCAAACCACCATGCAAGCATGACACAACCAACCAATCAATGATTGAAGTTCTTTTTTAGTACAGCATTTGCAGGTTGACGAATGGGAGAAAACCTCTTGCAAAGCAGAAAACTTACCAGCTGGAAGGCGTGCAATCTGAACTGTTGAATATAATAGGCCCTTTGCAGTTAGGCCATCATGTGACCTACCTTTCATAAAATTATGGGCTATAACTTACAGAATGCCAGAAATGGAAAAACCCTGTTGAAAATTGCCAGGGGCCTCAAACTCAACCATTTGGTATTTTCAATGTGCTTTTTCCATTTCTGGCATTCTTTCAGTTATAATAAAGTGTAGTATCGTTCGTCACACGATTTAGTCACTTGAGATGTAGATCGTGACGTTTCAACTGTTTACTGCTGGTCTTCTTCAGTTGATGAGGTTGACTGATTACATGACACCATCTATATCATGAAGGTCTGCTGTGGTTGATGCTTTTTGAACCTCCCAATGTTCCATTGTTCCGACAAGTAGCTGTTCCCTCAGCGGTCTACTGTTGTATTGCTTTCCTGTTGTTATGTTTTTTCATCGTGGGCATTCATGCTTCAGGAATTTCAATTCCACTATCCCTGTTGATGTTATGAGGGTGAAGTCTTATGTGGATAGCTTCCTTGACCCTATGTGTGTACCAGTGAGGATCTCGATCAATAAACTTGACCTTTTTAATCGGGTAGTGGCCGGTCTCGTGGGCGTGTTCAGAAAAGGCAGAACATAGGTACAGGTGAGTCATATATCCCTGTTGTGTTCTTTGATCCTCTCCTGCATAGGTTCCCATGTTTCCCCGATATAGACTTTGCCGCACTTGTAGTGAATCCTATAGACTATGCCATCTTTTTTAGCTGGGTCAATGGTGTCCTTTGGTCGTACTAACTGTGACTGAAGTGTTGTGTCAGGCTTGAAGAAGACGTGAATGCCTTGTTGTTCTAGGCAAAGGCAGAGAGGCTCTGATACTCCTTTTTTTCATAACCTTTATTACCCATAGTGTACTCAGTTATGTTAATAAATGTGAAAGGCTACACTACAAGCATGCACACACACACAAACACGAGACTCCAACACTCCTTGGACATAAGGTAAAAGAGCGGTGGATTTAAATTCTGCCATGGACTCCTTTCCCTGGGCTGTTCTTGTCTTTGTGATCTTTTGTGCAAAAGAGGTGGGATATCTATCAGAAACAAGTACAGATGACAGGTGTTTCTTCATGGTGTCCTTCGAGGAAGAGTTCATCAAGATCCTCACTGGTACTCACGTAGCATCAGGGAAGCCATCCACATAAGACTTCACCCTAATAACATCAACAGGGATAGTGGAATTTAAATTCCTGAAGCATGGATGCCCAGGATCTGGAGGCAGGAGCAGGAGTACCAGATGCTTGCACAGTTGTCGAAAAGACATTACCTGTGACCGAAACAGTGAACACTGGAGTAGAAGACACTGGCGGCAAAGAGCTCTCCAAACTTTTCTGGTACGACAAGGAGGCATGATGGCCAAAAAGAATGCAAATGGCCGCAAACAAACACAGAAAGATAACACCACAGCACTCTTGACCTAGCAGCAGACAATAATCTGGTGAATAAGTGTAAGTTTGGCAAACCAAAGGCAAAAGTGACAAAGTTACGCAAAGCAAGACCATGAGGGCAAAACTACACCACAATGACTCAACTATGCTTGCCCAAGGCGATCATCTGCTAGCCAACAGCAGATCTCCCAGTGAACTCTGGCTACTGATTATCTCATTTAAATTTTTGCTTGAAACAAAGTTTCCTTCAATTTCATCAAAAAGTTCTGCAAAAAAGTCCTTAACTTTAAGGCTTGGGCAAAGTTTGTTTGCTTCACCATTTGCACAGCACTGTATAACACTAGTGTGCAACATTGTAAATTGTTACGCTGTAGAACTACCTAAATTTGGTCTTTATTAATGTAGATCAGACCTCAGTTTTTGTCTACTTTTATGTGTATATTTCACTCACCCTTTTCCATTCACCGTGGGTACAGCAAGGAACACCCTTGTAAAAGACCTGAACGTTTTGGAGTCTATAAAAAAAAAACCCTATTTCACCTTTCTAAATTATTAACATTTTTTCTTTCAAATGGGGTCCCATAGCCTAGAGAATCCTTGAATTCTCCTTGATTATAGATGGAATGTATTTGCATAGATGATCACATGATTTGGGTGAAATTTATATAGGTAATCCAAGGATTTCAAGTGCAATTTGGAATAAACAAACACAACCAAATTTTTCAAAGACTACAAAAAAAATGCACGAGCCTGTAGGGCAAGTGTAATTTGTAGTCTTTGAAAAATTCATGAGTGCTAATTTATTCCAAATTGCATGGGAAAATCATTTGTTTACTTATATACAAGTATACAAGATTTTGTGACAAATGGAGGTGTCAAGCTACTTCAACCTTATATTTGGATAAAAAATTTGCCATGTGAATTCAAGTGGAAAAATTCAGCATTCACTCCAAGTCATGTATGAAAACTTTGCAACTTCTTTTAACTGTGAAAAGCAGTCTTTATTAACAGTTGAATTGAGGAACTTGACAACAAAGATTTGGAAAAAAATCCCTGCAGTTTTGCTGCAGCCTTCTTGTGAACTGATTTTCAAGTGGTTGAAAAACTCTGTGCTGTGTTTATCTTTGCTGAAAAGAAACTCTTCTACCTTCCATCTCAGTCTAAAGATGATATAGAATTATATTGAAATAGTACAAGTACAACAATTCCTTGCATTTGTTGCCTGTATTATAGACACAATGCATTTCCTTGGTATCACATTTATTCTCTAGCAGTTACATTTATTGTTTATAATTGGAACAACTAAATGAATTTGCATTGCTGATGTATTCTCGATTCATTGTAGAACTAAAATTGAAGCATTATATCAAGTTTGTTGGTCTTGACTTGCAAATAAATGCTTGTGAAGTTGTGTCTTATGATGTATCGTGATGTCAGCAATGGCAGGCAAATTCAAAATTGAATTGTGCTTAAAAGCTAAAGATTTCTTTCTTCTTGGAGAGATGACCTCATCTATATTCAACTAGGATTTCATAAGATCCTTTTTTATGCAACATCCTGCTTAAATGAGGGTAAAAAAGTGTGTTGTTCTATTTTAAATTTTTCTGAAAGCTGATGGGCACTGTACATAACTCTGCAAAGGATGCCATGCTGACTGGATTTGGCAAGTTTCATTTTTTTTTTTTTAAAAGAAAGCATCTTGCACATCTGTAAGATAAAAGTTGATTTAGTAAATCTTTATACACTTAAATAGTATTTCTGTGAATTTTTACAGCAGAAAGACAAAGGGAAGTCATTAAAATCTTGAAACATTTTAACACTGGTGTGTGAGTTCACTCAAGTGGCCATTTTGTCTGGATTTTGAAGGGGTGGTCTGGGCTCAGGGTCTTGGATGTCCATAGGTTAATCCTAACTATTGCCTTTGTGAAAAAGGGAAAGGTGTGACGACATGTATTAAGTCACATGACACTCTGACTGTGTGCTTGCCATGTTGAATTAAACATGGAGTTGTTGTTCTCATAAAGACGGTTCGTCATTTTTATTGCCTCTTGTTTGTGCTCTTGAATAGTGTAACATTACACTTACCATTTAGCAAAAAATCCAGAAATTTAGGTTGAAAGTCAAATGGAACAGTAATTTTCCAGAAAACCCATCCAGCAATTGTAGACTACCTCCAGAGGTGGTCCTCTGAATGACGGAAATTCCCTTAGCATTTGGTAAATTTTCTAGTTTCCAGTCTCTCATCAGCCGAAAACAATTATGAGATATCAAACTGCAAATTGTAAGTGCCATCTCGTTTGGTTGGTTTGCTGATTTTGGACAAACCCTAACTATTATTCAACGGTCATCCCAACTGGTTCATTCTGTCAAGTGGTAAGCACCCTCTATTTACATGTTGTTCACTTGCAATTCTTCCCTATTAAATGGGCAAGTAAAATATTGCCAGGGCAAGTATGTCATCTGGGACACTTGCCCGGCTGATGACTTGGGGAAAAAACCAAATTAAATATGCATCCCTCCTATTGTTCCCTTTTTTGCGGATGGTTTTGGTGAAACCTGGTTATTTCAGCGGCACCTGAAAAGCCACTTAAAGAACAACTGCAGCTGATTCTGAGACATGTTTTAAAACAACATAAAAGTGTTCAATACAGAGAACTAATAGAACAAGTTCTTTAAAATGGTACTATGATGAAAATCGCATCTCTCCTATGTAACCCATTTTAAAACATAAACAAGTAGTCTTTATGAGAAGAAAAATGCTGTTTACTATTTTCAAATGTCTCTTTTCATTCCTGAGATATTCAAGTTTTTAAAATATGCAAATTAGCCAAATGATGATGTCATACACTCAACCAAATTTTGATCAAATATGATAAAGAAAGATATCTCAGCCAGTTTGTATCAGAAATGTGTGATTCTTTGCAGTAAGACTCTACTAAATGTGCTCCACCATACAAGCTTAACAGTTTTGATAGGCAACATACTGGGTTCCAGACCTCCCCAATATTAAAGGCTTTTCTGGCCACCTTTGGCATTCCATTTTGATATTTGCTAATGGTGTCTCGTATGGTGTCTCATATCCAGCAGGCATATAAATATGTTAGCTTGAACTCCTGTCCTCGTTCAATGTTTTTCAAGCTGAAAATCACTAACATAGTGAAATCGAGTTGGTGGGGACTGGAAAAGAGTGAGTTGCCATGGGAACAGAATTTTTTTTATAGCCGTAGGTGTGTTTCCTGTAGAACTATTAGCCTGCCAAGTTTCAATGGATTCCGCTGTAAGTTGACCGAGATGGCTCTATTTGTATACTTAATATAATATTGGGTTGAGTGTATGACATCACCAGTCATCTCATTTGCATATTTTACACATTTTTCAAACTTAAATATCTCCGGAACTAATGCAGATATTTGAAAACGGTAAACCGCGTTTTTATTCTTTCATGGAACTCTATGTGATACACCTAAAAATTTGAGGGGTAAAAATTTGATCATAGTACCACTTTAAATGCCAATACACACCAGTCCATCATTTACTTTTCATGGTGTTTTAGGTAAAATCAGGGCTTTTTAGCCAGGCCTCAAAGACCACTCAAAGAACAACCCAAGCTGATTTTAATACATGTTTTACAACAACATAACTGTGTTGCAAAGGCAAAAATTCGAAGAATCTGGCACATGTTGAAAAAAATCTCTGAATTTTATTCCTTAATTGGAAACATCACCTGAGGGACTTTTTCAACATTTGTGTTTTTTCCTCGAATGGTGTTCAAGTCTTGTTATAACCTGTTTCTGATAGCTGAATACTCTGTCTCTCAACAAAGAGTATCGATACATTTTGGTTCTCCTTTACAGGCGAATGCAAATTAAGTTTTAATAGATTTCTAATTTTCGGTGAAAATTCTTGATTTTTTTCAAATTTAAAGCACTTTGAGCTAATCACATTTCACAACACCTAAGAGTTACTTGTGGACAAAAAAAGACAAAAAACGATTTTTCAACTTCTGCCATCAAAATTTAAATTTTGTTTGATTTTTGGTGACATTTGCTCTTAAAGTTTGAAATTTTCTCTTGTGCTTAACCTTCCGTAAGCGACCACTTGAGAGATAATAGAGCAGAAAGTGGATAATATGGTGTTGTCACATTATAGCATTTCTGGGTAACACAAGAGACGGGCATTTTTCAATGGGAAGTACCAGATTTTTTCTCAAAATTGAGTTTTTACATGAATAAAACATTTAAAAACATTGGGTAAGTCTCTGCAGTTACCATATGCTAACGAGGCAAAATTTTGACCCAATATGGTCCAAGCTCTCAGAAGCAACTGTCTCCTATAAGTGACCACCTAGGCTTGACATTTCAGGTGGTTGGAGGTTTGACTGTACTTATTTCCACAATTACTATTGAAATAACATACAAGTGATAATTTCTGTCACTCTAGAGCAGTTGTGACAAAATTCAGGTACCAATTGGTTTGAATGTTTTGATGAAAAATTTCAATAGAAATTCAGGGGTAAATTTTCATGCACTCTCTGACATATTAGTGAAAGTAGTCTTTCTTCACCACTGAATTTGAAGAAATTGATAGCAAAGAAAAGAAAAAATCCTTTAGACTTTGCTGCATGTTTTTGTTAAGCTATTTTCCTAGGTTTTCAGAAACCTCTGAGCCATGTTTATCTGTACCAAGCAAAAAACCAGAAAACTCCAACCTTTTGTACTCAATGTTTCACTCAAATGCTGAAATACTTAGCGAAAAATCATCTATCAAACAGATTTTGTCAGCACAGAACATTCTATCATAACTCTGTGCTGCTGCTTTACTGTACTTTCCTCAGTGGAAGTAATGCAGGTCAGATTTACTGCTTAATGCTTGTTTAATACTTGTTTAACTTACTGAATAAGGTTGTTGAGTAAGCCTACATTGTGCCTAATCTTCAAATGAAGCAAATACCTCCAAATTTACTTAAAATGTACACTTCCTATATGTTGAAATTTTTAGTTTGTGGGAAGTCTTCACTAACAATTTTAATCAGTACAATTAGCTTAGCAGAAGTTGTCAAGACAAATCAAATCAGATTTCTCTCTTAGTATTAATATAAAGAAGGCAGCATAACCTGACCTGTGACTAAAGGGAAAGAACATGGGAAATCCTTTTGTTCCACTGGTTCTTCATCTAGTCCAGTTTCATAAACACCCAAAAAATCAGTCTTTAACCTGGCTACGGCCTTTAACCATAGATTTCAGATTTCAGGGCAAATTCTCCACCTCTGAGCAATATATTACTTCAATTATTTTTTAACTTCAAACATGGGCCACATAACAAATAATAAGAAAATGTTCTAACAAAATGTAATTTTTGTTCAAACAAATAGTGCTTTATCAATATACTCATGCAACATCCAGCAAGTTTACTTACTCTCAAGGAACAATCCTCTAACAGCAAATGACAGGCAAGTAGGCTAAGTGTAAAATAACAAATAATGCTCAGGTTTACATATTTACTTGCAAAATAACTAGAATCCCTCACAAGATACATTATGCATCAGGTCGTCAGTTTGTGCAAATTCAAATGTCAATGCCTGCTTATATTAATCTTCTGTTCTCTTAGTATGAGATCAGACAGTACAATGCACTGTGTACTGCCATCTGCACCAGACAGTACTAGGTTTTAGGAATCATTTGTTCTATTATCTTTGCATGTGACCTTTGTTTCTATTTAGTTAACTGTAACTTATATATAGGATCATACAATTCAATGAAGATACATGTATGCCAATATATGTCTTGATATTATTTTCTTGGTTTTAAAACATTTAATTTGGTTTTGTTAACAACATGATATAGGGCAAAAGATATGTGCCATCTGAAAGCACATTCCCAGCAGTAAAAATATACCCTGCCCATTTTACAAAGCTTGAATACGGCGTCGACAAAACCAGGATCGGACCGGACCGGACCGGATCACGGATTGGATCACGGACCAGATCACGGATCGGATCACGGATCGGATCACGGATCAGATCAAGGAAAAAAAATTCAAAATTCAAAATTCAAGATTCAAAATTTTGTTGAGCAAATTACACTAGAGTGACTACTGTGAGCAGAACATTTTATTTAATTCAGCTGTGATATTCCTTTATTCTTTTATAATATCAAGCCAACTGGGAGCTGGTCACAGATGAATATTTTTCAGGCTGTTGGGTTTTGATTGCGATGATCAATCATGTCTTCATATCTTTCTCCGCAGTTCAGATAAATGATATTTTGTATATTCGCTTGCATCAAAGGTAAACTGTCATGAAACGAGTCAGCACGGTAATAATAGGATGAACGTATGAATCGAAACACAAAAACTAAAAACACTAAAAAAATTAAACACCTGATGATTTCAAACAATTTCCGGTCCGTTTCTGAGACAGGTCTATA